TTGGGACCTGTTTCCAGTAGGTTGTGGAAAATGCAACAAAAGATGGATGGCTTCATTGGAAAGAGTAATCAAAATGGAATTCATCATCGTCCCTGCTAAATCATGTCTACCTCTGACAGCCCATTTCAAACAGCACCAACGTTTTCCTAGCTGCATAGGCTTAACACATTGGAGTAAAAATTTCCTCTTCTCTCATATCCAACCAGTCTCTGAGTTTTAGGGACTCAGTCATGATAGTGTTGAAAGGTCAGAAACCTGAGGTGATTTTTGAGGGCCAAGCAAGCTGTTGTTGAGGCTTATCAGAGTCAAGGCTCAGGAGACGCCCCTTCACTGGGACGTGGAGACCAGTTCACCCACCTGAAAGGCAATTCTGGCTGATCTCAGCAGCCAGCAGTGGGCAGAAGCCTGGGCGGCAGGTACATAGCTCCAGAGCTGCTCACAGGGCTACAGGTGACATGGAGTCAAGGAATCAGGGATAGAAGCCAAGACCCCAAGAGAGCCATGAATTGCTGAGCAGGCCTGTCCTGGAGGAGTTGAGGAAGAAAGCAAGGAACCAACTCAGGTATTGAACAAGGAAAAGAAAGAATATGTTTTGAAGAGCAGGAGATGTGGTAGAGGCCTAGTTACTGGAATGAGCAGAGACTGTGGGCTCAGCCTGGCCTCAGGCAGAAGGACCTCAGCATTGGCGGTGGCCGGGCTGCTCCCACAGGGAGAGATTAAAGGGACAGAGGGGCTGAGGAACCAGGAAGTCATTACTGGATCACAGTCATGAGTTTCTGCTGGAACATGTGACTTTCATATGAGAACACCACCCAAACCCACCTTTACTCTCTTTGTTTCTCTTCCTTTATCCTGGGGTAAATACAGGGAAATGAAGGAAAGGGGTGGGAACAGGGAGTCGGGTGGGATGAGTATGGAAGAGACTGGGGAGCTTTAAAAAAATACGTTTGCATCCAGCCCCTAGAGATTCTGATGGCATCGGTCTAGTCTCCAGATTAATGCCTCAAATATTAATGTGCACTGATTCAGTAGGTTTGGAGTGGGGCCTCAAAAACTTCATTTTAACAAGATCCCAGGTGATGTTAATGCCACTTGTCTGTGGGTCACATTTTCTATAGGAACAATCAGTAGACGTTCTCAGAGGGTGGTCCCCAGACGGTCAGTATCAGTATCACCAGGAACTTGAGAGAAATGCACATTCTCGCGCCCCCCCACCTCAGACCCACTGAGTCAGAAACTCTAGGGGTGGATATTTGTACACACAGACCCAGGGGAAAGCCCTGAGATTGAAAATCTACCTCCAGAAGTGGAAGGCAGGGAAAGACCAAAAAAAGAGGCTGGCCACTGCAGTCTGGTAATTAACAGAGTTTATTAAGGGAAACTTACATACGAGGCATGTCTCGGGTGGCTGCAATACAAAATGGCTCCCCGCACCACTCGGCAGGCCCCAGAAAATCACACAGGGTAAAGGGGTGGTTAGTCACGTGTATGAGTACGTGGACGCTATTGCACGTGACTGACCAGGTCATGACAACAACCTGCTCCAGGAACCAACACATAGCAGGAGGCAGGGGAGGGATGCCGACTTATGTCAGAATGAACATCAGTTACCATCAGACAGTCTCTAAGGGGGTTTTGCAGAAAGCAACCTCCACTGTGGCCTGGGTCCAGCTTCCGGGACAGACATGGAACGGTCTCTCCTTCACAGGGAAGCCCAGCAACCTGTGTTTTAACCCCCCACCCCCAGGTGATCCTTATGCTTAACCACCCCCCCCCACGCCCACGCCCATGTGAACCTTATGCACGCTGAAGTTTGAGAACCACTGCTCCAGAGAATTTGCGTGGGAAATAAAAATCTGAAGGGAAAGGTGTTGAGTTTCAATATAAGGACAAAGTAATGAGTTATTGTGGGAATAAGAAAAAGAAAGAAAGATGAGGTTTGGCTCCATTTGTGTTCTAGTTATGAACAGGTATAATCGTTACAGTAAAATTAAGCCATTATAACCTTGAAACCTGCACATTTTGTTTTTTAAAAAGATTTTTTTTATCCCCCATCATCACAAGTAGTAGAACATTTTTGGAACTAGCACGCTCACTGAAAACAGATGACAAACAGGGCCTTTTGTGCTATGAGCCTGCCTGGGCCCTGGTGGGGTGCAGCTGGTACAGATGCAGGTGTAAGTGCCTGGAGCTGGGGATTAAGGATGGGCAATGGGACGCTTGCTGCTCTGAGGCCACAATATTACTTGAGGTCTTGGCGATGGGAGGTGTTGAGTATGGTAGTGTTACTGCTCCAATGTTACCATGCTAACCCAATGAGTGCCCTGTGCCTGGATTATGGCAAATCACTGGTCCCGACTAGCCTCCCAGGCTCAAGCTCTACCCCACCCACCACCGTGGGGGTGTTTTGCAGGATCCTGATTACACCTGTGCCCTTGTCTCCCCCCTCCTCTTTCTCCAAGGCCCTTCCTCTGCTCCCTCCAGCACCCCTTCCTATGTGTGCCCCTTTTGCTTGTCTTGTGCTTTCTCTTGTGCAGGCCAGTTGCTGAGAACGGATGTCCTAGTCATCTGCTAACTCAGCCTCCATCTCTGTCCACCCACTGGGGTACGGATCCCTGTCCCCTCTCTTGCAGCCAGCTGAATTCAACACATGCTGTCTACCTGGGCAAGAGATACCAGGGGGAATAAAAACTCGGTCTGTCCTTAGGGAGCAAGTTACAAACTCTGAGAATCAGCCACTACTATGTAACGTGCTAAGTGCCATGAAAGAGATTCCAGCCCACACTCCGTTCTCCTGGTCTGGCTGGCATTTTTCAGCCCTTATTACACAGGTGTCCATTATTCTTCAAAAGGGATGTGCTATTTTCCTAAGAAGGCAGCAAGTAGAGTCAGCCTTCTTCCTTATAGTTTACACAGAGCAAGGGACACGCTGAGTGGCTAGCCACAAAGCATGCCTGTGAGCACACTCTTGCTCAATGACAAATGTTCCTGTGCTCCCAGGAGAAGAAATGCTGATAGTTGGAGGCTGCTCAGAGCTGACCGGGGTCTATGTAATATTTACAGTTCAGAATCTTTAGAAAGGTTGTTCACAATTAAAAATTGCCTTACATCTCTGTTTAGGAAAAGCCTTTTTAAAGCTCCACTTAAAACACTCAACTTGTACAATCACTATCACTTATATATAAAAAGCTTCCACATTCTGGCAAATGTTACTATTACATGAGTAAAAATGGTCAGGAGAGGCCGTGTTCAAATTTCAAACATCATTGACGTGCTGCTCTCACATCCCCTTGAAGAGCTGGTATGAGAGACTCTTGGTTCCTAGCAATAACTTCTTTGAACATTTCCTTCAGAAGTGAAAATGTCTCATGTAGAAAAGAGGAAGAATGTCTTTTTGGATGACCCTAACCTGAGAGTTGGCAGGTCCATCTGATGTAAGTGCTTTGATTAACCTGTGAGCTGAGTCTGGGGTTAGTCTAGAAGACGTAAGCACATATTTCAAAGCAAAATATGCATTAAAAAGTTGATTGATTTGGACACCATGACATGAGCTCATTTTTCTGTGTATTTAGTCATACACATCTAGCACTTAGCAGTTGCTTGGTAAATATTTGCCAATCGAATGAATGAAACACAAACCCTTCCCAATGTGATGCTTCACCTAACAGCCGTTTGGCCAGCAGAAGAGAGAATGGCTCAAAGACAACCTCACAGGGACCCCAGCACACGTCTCTGTCCGGGTGCAGGGAGGGTCCTGGGCCACAGTCTCCATGATACGGTCCCCAGGAGGAGGGAGGCCCAGGACCACAGCCCACTGTCTCTCTCCAGGGGCCCCTGAAAGCCACCTGGGGTCTTCCCAGGACTCCCCTCCCCCTTTAAAACCAGTTGTCAATGCAGGAGAAGGACACTCTCAGCTGGGGTAGAGAACACTTTTAGATTTTAGAACAATTTTTCAAATACCTTTGATCATGACCCACAGTAGAAAAACATTTTATTTTGTGAATCAGGAAAGACACAAGTCAATATACAATCAAAACAAAAGTTTCACAACACAACAGTTATCCCTACTACAAGGGATGTGCTGATTTCTCTATTTTTCTTGCCCACTCCTCCCCATTAAAGAGTAATGTGACCCACTCCACTGATTTCATAATCCACTAATGGGTGAGACCAGCATTTTGAAAACAACGGCATGGTGATCTGCTGGAAGCAAAGGCTCAGACACTCCAACTCAGGGATCCTGCAGTGAAGGAAAAGTGATCCTCCCCATGCCCACAACTGGGAACATACTTAGGTCACAGGAAAGTGCGATGGCAATCTTTCTTTTCTAGAATCTAGAAAACTCAAGGACAGGTCTTTCCTTCTATATTTAAGATAGTATCCTATAAATAAAATACCAGTAAGATGCCTAACCATGACCATCCATTAGGAAGAAGCCACTTCTGACTGGCCAGACAGGAGCTTCATGAGCAGAAAGACTGTATGGCAGCAGCTCTAACCCATCACTACTTAGTGCTACCAAGCTGAGTAGTGGCAGTGGCACACGCTGGCACCTCCATTGTAAGAAGCCCACATCAGTGTCCCCAGCAGTGTTCCTCAATCCACAAGGTTTAAAAGGGTTCTTGGGGAGGAAGGATGGGGAGTTGGTTCTGTGACAACGTAAGTCAAGGAAATGCTGGGTGAAACTTCTCAGAGCCTCTGACACGATATTTTGAGTTGTGACTCTTAGGGAGGGAGTCCAGTATGCAGTGTTTTCCTATCATATTGACCACAGAATCTTTTTTTCCAATAATCTTCAAACATCTACAGAACAATTTAAGGACTGTTCCCTGCTTCCTCTACTTGCTGGGAGAAACACATCATAGAGACTTCTTCACTGCCTTAGGGGAGGGCAGGGCCAGGGAGTTAGGGCACTTCAAGGGGACTTGGAGGCATCACTGTACTTGGCTAATCAAATGACAAAGCAGAACTTGTTTAGAACGTTGAAGGGCCCTTGCACAACTGAGCAAATTGTGCCCCGCCCACCTCCAGGGCGCGCCAATCACACAGACTACGTTGAGAATGAGGCCCCCTGAAAACAGGTTTATGTTTTAAACTGTAAAAAACAAAACAAAGTTACAGAGTTGATCAGAATGTCCAGCACATTCTCTTTCTCCCTTGACTACAATCACTGACTCTGGTGTTTTTCAGTAAGAGCAGCTTCTCGGGGTGACAGTGGGTAGGAATCTTAAACGCTGGGCTTCTTACTCAGGCCCATCAGTTCCTGTTTGGGAAATCTAAGACTCAGTTCCACCACTACTACAAGAGGAATGATGACAACACAGCCCACCAAGCTGAGGTGAACCGGATATGAAAGCTCTTTATAAATGTCACTAGTAGTCACTGTCAGGAAGTCAGGTCCTGCTGCAGCTCTCTGCCCTCAGGCTTTGGTGCCCAGGTTTGCTTGCTACCTCATGGTCAATGGCACTGGGATAGACCCATGGGCCATCTCAAGGAGATGTTGCTTATGCACAGTAGTTCTCCAAGAGGGTATTGTGCCTAAACTTTATGATTGCTCTGAGCCGGGAGAGGTGGGACTCCTGAACATTGAACTCTGCCCACAAGTCCCTCCACTTGCTTCTAAAAATTTTTGCTGCCATAAATAGGCATTAAATAATTTTTTGGATCAAAATTTCATTATCCTGGGTTCCTTGTATATGCACAAGAATATACTTATATCCACAACATGAAAGCAAAATACACCTTTGATTTCAGAGGCGACCATATTTATGGCAGCATCTGTCTATATTACTAATTGAAAAATGAGCAATTGTGTTTCCAAAGACTAAGAGAATGAAGACTTGTACAATCTCCCCAGAGCACATTTTGTAATGTGGGATCTCATGAGGCTAAAATGAACGTCCCAGAGGAGGTCAATGAAAGGAACACTGGAAAGATTGGTATACTTACTTTTCACACCTTGATTGAAAAAAAAGTCATCCTGACAGAGTTGCTGGCCAACTTGCAAAATGTCGACTACTCTTTCCAGTTCTTCCTAACAGCATCAATTCCCCCTTTTCAGTCTTTATTTCCCTACCGACTTGTTTTCCCGAAGTCCCAGAACCGTGGGAGCAGGCGACGTGCTCGTCCGCGCTGATGGCAGGCGTCAGTACGTTAGCGCTGGTCTCGGTGTAGCCAGCCGTCTCTCCTCCTGTGTCCCCCTCAGTGTCTCTGCTTCTGCAGAAACCTGTCTGTGCCGACTGTCTGGCCCGCAGCAGTTTCCAGGCGGCGGCTCTATACTTCTTAGAAATGAGGTTGTAGAGGATTGGGTTGATGGATGCACTTAGATAGAAAAGTTGCAACGCAACAATGTTAAAGTACTGAGAGAAGTACATCATCTGGGAGTCTTCCGTATTTATGTAAATGATTCTGCCAACGTGGAAAGGCAACCAGCAAACTATAAATGCCAGAACCACCACCACTGCAAAACAAGACACAGGCACCAGAATTAGCTAGAACATCTGAAAACACGCCCCCAAGAAACCGACGGAAGTAATAAGTAACAGCAAAACAAATTAGACAAAATTTTGACCTAGAAAGTTTATCCCTACCCCAGAAAACTACCAGGCTGCTGCCAGCATCGATATTTGCTTTAAAGCTGCAGATTTGGCTCATATATGTGTCATCAAAGTTGGACATAAAGTAAAAGGAGCAATTTCTACTAACAAGCTGTTGTGTTCTGGTAAGCGTCCTTCCACTCTTAGAGGCATGTTCTCTGCTTTCTGTTGAAAAGAATTCTGCAATGGGTCTGCACAATCTTTTACTTTTTTGGTATGTGCATGGTTCACTTTAACCTTCAGAATAGCTTAACATTAAGTAAACACATTTTAGTTTAATGTGATCCACCCTGTCTTCTCAAAGATCTGTGAGAAGCCACATCTGCGGCATCTAACGGAGACAGGCAGTTGGCTTAAGAGTCTCCAATTACCCGTCCTGGATGAGCCCAGATCACTGATCCCAGCATCTCTGGAAAAATCACTGCTGTTTACGGACCTGGATATCCTACTCTCAGGGGCTCCCTTGGGGACGTAGCTAGAGAGGGAGGCAAGGGATGCGAGACCAGAGAATTGGTGTGTTTGGAATGGAGGTAGCGCCACTTACGCAGGACGCGGACCGTCTGCCGGTGGCCCTTCTCCCGCCCCGAGGTGGCCGGGCCTCGCAGCGGGCCCCTGGTCCTCCACAACTCCCTCCCGATGAGCCCGTAGAGGACGCTGAGGCACAAGAAGGGCAGGAAGAAGTAGGCGGTGGTGACCCACAGCATAATGCGCAGCGCGCCTAGCTGCGCGGGGCTCGGCCGGCACTCGCGGCTGAAGAGCGCCGCGGCCGCCGCGGCCTCGCGCCCCGACGTTGGGGACAGAGGTGGCGCCCGCGAGGACCCGGGGGGCGACACTGGTGGTGGCCGCGAAGCGCGGGATGAGGGGGTGAGCTGCGTGGTGCCGTTAAGGTCAGCGAGCGCGTCGAAGCCGGGGTCCTGCTCAACGCCCACCAGAAAGAAGAAGGGCCCCGCGGAGAGCAGCGCCACCACCCAGAGCGCGGCGATGAGCGCGCGGACGCGGCTCCGGGTGACGAGGACGCGGGCGCGGAGCGGGCGACAGATGGCAAGGTAGCGCTCGACGCTGAGCGCCGTCATGTGCAGCAGCGTGGCGTAGGTGCAGCCCTCGCCCACGTAGAGCGAGAGGCGGCAGAGCAGCGGCCCGAACACCCACGGCCGCGAGCGCCAGAGGCGGTACAGGTCGAAGGGCAGCCCGAGCAGGATGAGCAAGTCGGACACGGCCATGCTGCCCAGGTACAGGTTGGTGGTGGTCCGCATGTCGCGGTAGCGCCCGATCAGGAGCACCGTCACCACGTTGCCGCTCACCCCGACGGCGAACAGGCCCAGGCACACGGCGGTCACCGGCACCAGCGTCCCCAGGGGGAAGGGCGAGCATCGGCGCTCGTCGCACGGCAGCAGCTCGGCCCACGCCGGATCCCGCGCGCCCTCCGCGCCGTCACTGCTGTTCCAGGGCCTGTCCATGGGCGCGCCGCGCAGGCTGGACGTTTGGACACGCTCCGGGCCCCTCGGCGCCGCCGCGCCCCCAGGCGGACCTAGCGCGTGGCCCGGCTGGCGAAGCGCTTCCTTTGGCAGCCCGCGCGCATCGGGCGCGCCCAGCCGGTACCCGCACTGCCAGATCCCGGGCGACACCGCCTGAGCCCTGCCGCGCCGGAACGCAGCTCTGTGGGGTCCACTTCCAGGCGCTCCCCAGCGGGTGGCGCGCAGTCTCCGCCCCCGGCCACCACCCGCCCCAACTCCCGCGCCCTCTGCCAAGCTTGTCGTTTTCCAGGGTGCTTCCCTCTCCACCAACTGGAACACTGGGGGCGGCCACAGCGCACCAGCCCCGCCCCGGGAAGTGATTTCTGGACCCCAGTGAGGTTGGTTACTGCACCCAGGAGAGAACCGGCGCTTTCGTCGATCGGGTCCAGAGGGGACCTTCTAAGGGACCTCGGCTGGTGGCTTACATCCCAGAAGGCTGCCACAACACTAAAGAGTAGGAGAGGAGTTTAGGCAGAATCTGGAGTCCCCCTCCGGTTCTAGTTATGACTCTACAATCGAGTGATCTCGGATCAGCCCCAGCCTTGCCCATCCCGGTTCTCCTCTTCTGTAAATTCGCAAGTGGCGGTGGAGGGAGATGACCAAATAATTTCAACGATCTCTTATCTTTTAACTCTGAATCTATGGACACGACCATGTTTACTCATCTAAAAAGAACAAGACTTACGTACATTTGAGTACTTAAACATGTGCTATATTGTTTGTATGTACAAAATATTTTACAAACTTAAAAAGCAGAGTATTTGCCAACACCAGAAAGAACTAAAATTCTGGCGGGAAGACTCAAGCTGATGTATGAGTCATTCATTGTGGTCTTAATGACAACAGCTGACACTTACTGAACACTCAGGCTGTGTTTGGCTCTGTGGTTTCCATTGAATTCTCATGTCCTTCGGAGCTCAATTTACGGTGAGCAAAGTAGAATTTGCTTGAGATCACACAGGCAACAAGACGCAGGACTGGGATTTGAACTCTGGTCAGCCTAATTCCAGAGCCTGCAGGCCCTATGATTTCCCACTGAACTGCCCCGCCGTGCCCCCTCCTCAGTCGCTCTAGCTCTGCAGTCCTCACCCAAAGCACCACAGATTGCTCTGGAACGTTTCTGGAAGTTCTTTATCTTTTGTGTCCATGGACACCTATAGCAGTTTCTCCACCCAACCTACTGTGGTTTAAATCCTCAGCTTCTTTTCCCAAAGTTCCCTCCTCCTCTCTGGAACTGAAACCTGGCTTTGCCCTGGGTACATGTTTCCCTGCAGTCCTCTCACCAGCAGGAGCCATGGGCTTGGAGGAAAGGTACATGTCTCCTTCCTCCTCATTGCTGTTCCCAGCCTCCCTAAACCGTAACCTTGAATCTAATTTCCTCAGACCCTGCCCTCTCCAGCCCCTCTGCCATCACTCACCCTCATCCCCTGAGGATTTTGGTGCCTGCCTCTCACTCTCTCATGCACTCCTGATAAAATTCACAGCCACACCAACGAGTCTTGCAATGCTTCATCTCTCCTTTCTATCAGTGACCTTGTCCTCCACCCCATCTCAGGCAGCAGCTCCTGTGGACGTCCTTTACATCCCAGGAGGGACCTGGGAGCCCTCCTTCATCTCCATTTCAGTCATCCCAGTTTCTGACCTCCACTGCCCATCTTTCTAGCTCATTTTCTCTAATACCTCAACTCCTGCAATCCTTCAACCACACCGGGACCGCCAATCGGTTGCTCTTCCTCCCTCTCCTTGTTCCTCACCTGTCGCAAGTCCTCACTTTCCCAATTTAAAATCCATGAGTGAGCCTGACCGCTCCCAGACAAACACCTTGAGATCCTGGGCTCTTTCTCCATTGTCATACTTGTCTCCTGGATCAGAGCACAATCACAACCCTGGCTAAGCATAATTCTCTGCCTACTCCATGCACGCTCCCAAATAACGGTTGTTTCACTTGGAATACACAGCCTCTCGAGTGGTTCTTAGTTTTCCCTAGCCATCCTCATGCTTATCCAATTTCATTCAGTCTCTCTCCCTCCGGACCTCTCTTATATATCCTCTTCTCTCCTCAATCCCCAACACCTCCTCTCCCATCCTTACGCTCAGCTGGTGACCTTTGACCTTGCACTTTGATTCTCAGAAAGAATAGAAGCAATTAGAAAACAACTTCCACCTGCTCTCACCACCACACCCACCCTCATTCCGCCACCTCCCCGCCACACACACACACAGATGAATGGGTGGGTGGTACTTGTACCTAAAGTCAGCTCTGCCCTTCAGTACTTCAGTCACCTCCTCAAGGACATCTCCTTCGCAATTCTCTCTCTCTCTTTCCCACATCATCAAATTTTTTCTCCCCTCCAATTGGATAAGGAAAATGTTGTACATCTCCTATACAATGGAATATTACTCAGCCATAAAAAATGAAATCTTACCACTTGTGACAATATGGATGGACCTAAAGGGTATTATGCTAAGTAAAATAAGTCAGACAGAGGAAGACAAATACTGTATGATTTCACTTATATGTGGAATCTAAAGAACAAAATAAATGAACAAACAAAACAGAAACAGACTCATAGGTACAAGGAACAAACTGATGGTTGCCAGATGGGAGAGTGGTTGGGGGCAGGGTGAAAAGGGGGAAGGGATTACACAGTACAAATTGGCAGTCACAAAATAGTCACGGGGATGTAAAGTACAGCATAGAGGATATTTAGTCAATAATGTTGCAGCAATTATGTATAGTGTCAGGTGGGTAGTAGAGCAATTGGGAGGATCACTACATAAATTATATAAATGTCTAACTACTATGCTGTACACCTGAAACTAATATATTATTGAATGTCAACTATAATTGAAAAATAAAATAAATTTTTGTCTCCCTTTTCTGGTTCCACGTTTTCAGCAAACTCCTCAAAAGGGTTTTTGTATTCACTGTCTCCACGTTGTCTCCCTC